CCTCAGATTTCAGTTAATATTCTGAGGATTATATGGCAGCCAATTAACAGTAATATTTTACAGAAACTTGGAAATTATACACCTGGGATGTACCCATATGAGAGAAGATAATTGCAATTATCTTGGGATATCCATGAAACCTAGACAGATCTATGGAATAAGTACTGGTTTATGAAGTATCCACATAAGATATATTCTAATCTTACTTATCCATATGTGGTAATTATCTGATTTTATTTTTAATTGTTCTCAATTTAAAGACTTCTTTAAAAAAATAAAAATATTATTTAAAATAATACTCAGAGAAGTGTTTTAGGAAACTTCCACCCCCATTCTACCCCCACACAATTTTTAGTCAGTTTTGGATATGTAAGAGCAAATGCAGACATACCTGCTCCGTAAACTTGAACCAAATAATCATAAGGCCAATATGTTGAATCAATACCTTTATTTGGAAATAGTATCTTTATATTTAGTCCCTGATTTCTGATATTCCTGTGTATACTAGGATTTGTCATTTTAGTCAAGAATAGATTATTTGTGATATTTTTCTTATTCCTACTTGGACCTGCCTCAAGAATTTCTGGGTTAAAGGATATTGAAGAAAAAAGTGAAAATGTGAACAAGTTGATATAAATATTAAATAGGTTAAAAAGGAGAAGATGGATATTAACCAATATGCTTATTATAAGATTATCTAAGGATTTTATTATTATTTTTGTACGTCTTTTCATTGCCTACGATGGTCAAGAAGATAAAGAAGGGCTGGGGATATAGCTCAGTTGGTAGAGTGCTTTTCTCACATGCACAAGGCCCTGGGTTCAATCCCTAGCACCTAAAAAAAAAAAAAAAAAAAAAAAAGAATAAAGGCATTAAAAAAGTCCCATAGCAAAACTGGGTGTTTCTTCAGTGTTTGATGTGATAAAATTTTGACATCAATATTTTTCTATGAAAGATCAGTGTTTCCACAAGTTGTCAAGATATACAGTGGAAAGTTCTACTGCAGAGACTTCTCATTTTACAGCAAAGCCTTCTCAGATTGTGAAGATTATTAATACTGCTATTAGTGAAATGAATGAAGCCCATAGATGAGACAGTATTTCATACTGAATATGTATCAAGATAATTCCAGTTTCTGATGACTAACAATCAGGACTTCAAAGAGTTGCATTTATTTCTTGTTCACATAAGTTGTTTTTTTTTTTTCCTAATTCGCTGAACTCAATAGTTCTATGGCATCCCTACTATGTAAAAGGCATAATGACAAATATTCGTTGAATCAGGGCATTCAAAATTTTCCATATCTCTAATACCAAATAATTTCCATGAAAAGGATAAACATTTTGTTCCTTGTGCTTTTATTAGACTGTGTATTCAGTTTTTTTTTTTTTCTTTTCATTTAGTTTCTCAGCTTACTGAAATACTCAGCATTCTTTGCAGGAATAGAAAATATCTGTTGATGGCTATCTCTGTGTATTCACTGTTTTCTTGGTTTACTACATTCTAGAAATAAAAGTGTGTTTAACTTACTGTTGTCTACATTCTGTCTCTACAGATTATTTTGTCGAGTGCTTTCTCTAGCTTAATTTAAATGATTTATAAAATATGGCTTTGATCACAGCCCTTAGAAGAGAAATATGTGCCACATTATGGTCCATGTATCTTATAAATAGGAAAGGCTTCTGGATGGGCAATGTGGAGTTTCCTTAGTTCAGATTTCTTTTATTACTTTAGAACACATCATCTTACAACAGCCATTTTCCTTCTAGGCAATACATATATTTCAAATACTTCATTCTAATCTTATTTTCTTGAAGGCAAGCTTTCTTAATTTGGACTTTTAATCTTTCCTTTCATCAAAAATACTGTATCTTGTTTTATTACTTTTCTCTGAATACCCTCATCTGTGCTGATGCATTGCTGATAATGAACTTGACTGGAACTCTGGCTAGATGTTTTGTCAAATCTTTACAACCTGTCCCTTGACCTCTTTCATCCATCGTCTTTGGCAAATCTATTTTGAGACTGAGAGAGATCCTGGAGAGATTCCAGTCCACATCATCTTCTAAGAACCTCTTATTCCTTTCGACCAAATTTCTATATGTGTGAGACACCATGGTCAAATAAAATGAAAACATGATCTCTTTATCTGGAAACTCCGGTTTCAAATCTGCTGCTATAAACATTTATTAGAGGCTGTCTTACTGAGGTATTTCTCTTCAAGAGGAATAATGTGGGTCCAGTTGGATGACAGTTGCCTTATCAGTCCTTCCATGATGAATTACTTCATAAAGGCATCTGCAAATTATTCTTTTGGAACATACAAATTATTCCACTTCTTTCTTCTTCATCCTCTGTACTAAAGAAGTTAAATTGACTTTATTACCCCAAACAAAATTTTTAAACCAGACTTACATCTACTAAAATTATAATTGTGACTAATTATGGGGATTCTTGGCTACTGAAATATTATAAACACTTCATCTTTCATCTTGAAGAACAACTCATTGATTATGTGATATCATGGGAATTCTGCATTAAATCCTCAGTTTTGGTAAGACTTAGGTTTTTGAACAATGTCAAGAAGTTAGATCCAAAGAGAATTGAAAATTATCTTATCCTGGCATTGCATCCTGTGTCAGATCAAGTTATCTCATCCTAAGTAATATTCATTACCAAAGGCATTATCACAGTCAATCATACTAAATTCGCTTAAAAGGTCAGCACAGTTTACAACTCTGCATCCTTTTGATGCAGCCTAGTTTTGCATTGGGTTCCTGAAGTCATGCTACATTTCCAGACAATAATTAATAAGAAATATTAGTAGGTTGTGACCTAAGTTTAGATTATTCTATTTCAATATTTAAACAGTGTTTGACTCCATTTTTATTTTAATATCTTAATGTTGGGAGAAGTATAACATCTTTTGGGGTGTAGTAAAAATCTTAAAAATATTTATTGGAAGAATGGACCATTGCACCATTCATCTTGGTCTTTAAAATTTTTTATAAGATGCGAGATGAGTGAAGTAAGTATAATAATCATTTTTGATACTGATAAATAATGGTTAATGATTAGCATATTCCTTACAATAGGAAATGTCCTATTTTCTAAAATTAAATAGGACTATTATAAATTATAAAAGATCAAGGATAAGCCAACTAGTCAATGATCCAATATGTAAAAATTGAGAGAAAACAGAACTTAATAGGGCCATTAATTACAAAATCTGATAAATATATGCTTTTATATGTAGAATTTTAATTTAGACTTAGAATTGTAGAAATGGACAGAGAATAATAGAGTGATGAAAATATGTGTATAGAGTAGCTTTTCTTTCTCTAATAAGTACAGAAAAAAAAATCAACTACAAAAATATACCCTTTTTATATAGTTAATATTTTTTTTATTTTGCATTATCTTTATTTCTTTAAAGACATTCTTTAAATGTCTTTTTAACATTTATTTGAAGCATAAGATGGGAGTGTTGTTGCTGAATCCAAAATCAGTTTGAATTTAGTAACTTCTGTCTTTCAAACTGCTCCTAATCTGTCAATTTTGCTTAATTTTAAATTATGATTATTATAACACACTTATGTATTTAATAAGAATGACAGGATTAGAAATACGACTATATTGGCTCAAAAAATAAAAAATTCCCAAATTTGGAGTTATCTGCATATGGAAACAGGCTTTGGGATTTACCCACTTGTGATGCCACAAATTGTAAGCTATTATTTTGCATATTTGCTTTTGCTAAAATACTGTGGGAAGAGATGATTTCACTTTTCCTATATTCCACTAGGCAGTTGAAGGTCTGGCTCCTATGTGAATTGTTTCAGGACCTGCCTGTTCTTCAGCATCACCCATTACTTAGGTTTTGCCATAATGCCCTCTTGACAACTTTTAGTATTTTCTATTTTTAAACTTCTAAATCGACATTTAAAATATATATATATATATATATATATATATATATATATATATATATATATATATATATTACTATAGATTACTATAGTACTCTATACATCATTCTGATATCTTGTCTGATTCCCCATTAGACTTGGACTCAGACATTAAACAATGCTACAACTATAGGACTATAACAGAAATGCTTATGCGAAACACATTTGGTCAGTTAGCATCATGGGTCACATGGGCTGTGCCTCTGAGAGTGAAGGAGCAGGGAATCTGATGACTGTAGAAATCTTGCCATTTGATTTTTTTTAATGGTTTTGAAGGTGGCCTTGGACTACCTTTTTTAGATATAGAGTCTATTTGGTACTCACAGAAAAACTTTCAAGATTGTCAGTAACACTTTGTATTGAGGAAGCTCTAAGAAAGGATTCTAAAGGTAGAAACAGGCATTGGTTATTGGCTTATCTTTTAAATTATACACTTCGTGCAACCCCTTCTGGGGGGCATAAAGGAAATTAGAAAGAGTTGCAGTTCTAACAACAATCAATGCATCCCATTGAAAGTGGTAAGTATCCCTTTAGTACCATGTTACTGGCTGGACATGCCAAGGCTGGGAGCTTGACGAAGGTCACATAGCAGGGCCATGGAACCTTAAAGAAAGGCATCTGGGATTCCCACTTACTGTTCCAGGCTTTAAGAGCTGCAGCCCTTGCTTTCTCTCTTGGTGATGATGCTGGATGCTTTAAATAGGGGATTCATCCCCCCCGGAGGAGCCCCATTATAATTTTCCCTGACAAGGCAGGGTGCGTCTTCATCCTCCTCCTAGATGGTCCCTTTTGATTCGTTCAAGAACCAAAGAGGAATCCAAATGACAGTGCTGCCTGATGTCATGAAGGCCTGCACATTTCTCTTTCAGCACCTAATTCTTTCATATGCCTCTTTCTCCCAAGTAGTTACCATTCCCTCTTCCACCTCCCTAATCCCTTCCCAAGTAAGGTACGGGTTTTTTGTTTTGTTTTGTTTTGTTTTTCTTTTGCTCTCTCTCTCACTCTCTCTTTTCTGTATCTCTCGGAAATCAGACAGGAGTTCAGAGCACTTTCACTACCTTTTATGAGGTAGATTGTGATGTCATAGATGGGGGCAGGGCTAGTCAACTTTCTACCCACCTCCCAACCTGTGCTGAGGGAGCTCCGATCGGGAGTGGAAGCAGTGATTCCTCCATGGTGAGTAACTTTGCTTTCTAATCTAATGTCTCTGTACTCATTATTTCTGAAGGAAGTGGGGGGGCAGGTTTCAGGGAAGTGACCACGTGTCCACTTAAGCCCTCTTTACTTACCATTAATCAACTTCGGCAAAGGGCCGATTTATCTATTCTTTACATGGTTTAGGAATTCCACAACACAGACTCACTCTTCAATCATGATCTAAACTTGAGAAGCGAAAATTATATTTCCAATTCCTTTATTTCTCAGTCTTTCTTCCAATTGGGAGGGAGAGCCATTGCATATATGGAATGAATCCATTCTGCAGTCCCTTTGTGAGCTTCTCTACAGAGAGCCAGTCAGGAGGAGGTACTCTTCTTCATTTGGGAAGATTTCAGGGTCATAGAATATCCTTTATTGATGTTTGTTGAGAAACATTAAGCTCTTCTCAAATTCTGGGGGTTAAAAATCTGAGGAAACTGATACATGAGGATTATCAACAAACAGTTTTAAAAAAATGAAAGCTTTCTCATGCCATGACTAAAATGTTCATTACAATAAAATCATTTGTCCTACAAGTTAAAAGCACAGTCATTTCAGGGTGTCACAACCAAATTTGCTACCATTTTGTTGTTTTTGTTGCATGCCATAATACTGATGCTGTTTTGTAGTCTCTTGCTAGTTAAGAGGTGTGAAAAGCTGCTGTTCTTTGTTCTCATTTGGGTTCTATTACTGATTAGTCCTTTTATATGCCTTCGTGTTTAGAAAGAAAAGATCAACTGGAGTGAGCATTTTTCTCTGCCTCTTTGCTTGTTCTCTCACGGGTACCCATTAAAACTTTGCAAGATGTAAGGTTTGTGTGAAAGGGCAAAGGGATCCTTGGAAGTGGTTAAATCTTTAATGGATATCCAAGCAACAGGGCAAATGCTTTTAAAAAGGATTTGACCATCAGAATGTTAAGCCCTGTTACTTATCATGGGGTGAGATGAACACATCTTGGTGTGGATTATGGGTATTTTGAAATACATAAAAAGAGGATCATTCACGTTTCTCAAAGCATGCATCCCTAGTCAAGTAGCCATGTGTAAACACTGGCACTGGAGAACTGGGGGACAGTTGGAAGGGAGGGTTTCTCCTCAAGTTTCTCTATTATGTGTAGCTCACCCTCAAAGTTATGCACTTTTATACTAAAAACATGGGAACAGATACTGACTGCCCTTTCTGGTACCCTGAATTTGGGAGTAGGGAGGGCTTCCAGAGATTATTTTCCCTCCTGAGCTTTCTAATATGAGGAAGTAACTATAATTATAGAGATTTCTGGCCTGATAAGGAAAGGTAGGGCCCTAACTGGCCAATAGGAAGATTTGGGTTGTAATTGCCAGCAGTCAACCTAATGTTACAACATGGGTGAAGGTGATGTGTGTTGGGTTATCCCTCTCAAGTCTCTGATCTACTTTTTTATTAAAAGTACTATACTCCTGAAACCCAGGTAGAAGCAACCCTTCAGTGCTAGAATAATCTGATGTCTAATCATAGCTCAAGTTTTTAATGTCTTTTATCAACCCCTCATACAGCTGCCAGGTAAGAAATGCTCCTATTTTATAAACTCTTGGAACACAATCATCTTTAAACTTCGTGAGTGAAGAGCGGTTGTGTTGTGCGCTTGTGCAAATTTGGAGCGTCTATCATGGAATGCCTTGTGCATGCACTTGTTTATCTTCATGTGCATGTGTCATTATTAGTGGTGTTCAGTGTTTTTTTATTCATTTTGTATGTATTAAAATTATAATTTAAAAATACATACATACATACATATATTGTGCTGTAAAGGAGTCAGTGAAGTGTAACAGAAGCTGCTTAAACTAGGGTCTAAGCACTGGTATTTTGGTCCTCTCTGCATCATCGATGATTAAGCAACTCAGAGTAAATTGCTTAGATCTTTCAGGTGTCAGTTTTTCTCATCTGTAAAATGATGATAGATGATCTGAAAGATGTAGCCCAAAATATCTCCATTCTAAAATTCTGAGGGTTTATGATATATTTTTGAGGAAATTATTTGTGGGAAAAGATAGTTATTGGACATATAATTATTCAATCCAGAGAAAAACATTTCAGTCCCTACTAGGTTTTAAAACTTACCCTCTATCTGATGTAGTGTTATTTGGTTAATGATATATATGAGTAGCTCAATGTTCTTTTAAATGCACAATGTCATTTGACCAACTTGCTCAATATAAGCCATCACTACAGATAAATATCTGCAGAGATATAGAATCCACGGTAGGTAGCTATGTGTTGACTTAGAACACGAATTTCCTTTTTAACTCTATACTTTTACGTGTTTCTACTTATTTGGGATTAAAAATTAGTCCTTATTTACAAGGCAACGGATCTGGCTCATTGGGAACTTCAGAATTCAAAATGACTTAGACGATATTGCAGTAGTGCCTATGTGGTATTGGAAAGGAGTGGTGAATAGAGAACTGGGGTACTGAACTATGTGTTATGGTATACATGTTCAGCCTGGCTCCTGATCCTTAGGAATGTACAGCCTCTTTGGGGAGTGCAGACAAGTGTCAACTTAAAAGTAAAGACGGGAAGAGTTCAAATAACTAAGAAATGTGCCATGGTATATAGGTGGCTGGACTACACTGGGATGATTGTGAGAAGCTGAGGTGAGGCATTTTACTGACTTTAAAGGGTGGCTGAGATTTGTGTTATACCGAAGGAAGTTATCATGGAAGCATTTCAGGTTTGCAAGACCACAGGAGTTGAGGATAAATTTTGGTTAAGACATGCCATATATCAAAATCACTGTATAGTTCATCTCCTTACTTCTTCAGATTATTATTATAATTATTAAAGCATATTAATTGTACACAGTATTGGGTTTCTATGAGACATTTGAGTTCCACATCCTTGTTGAACACTTTTCCCTGAGCATGTGCTGATTTTACAATAAAAGAAATATTTGTTTAGAAGAGCTGAAGAGGCTGCTAGTAAATGAACTGCAGTTTATTAAGTTTATAAACTAACTCTGAGAGGGTCTAATTTTCTGATGAAAGTGAAAAGAGATCCTCTTTTGGAAATATTTCCTAAACCTGAAGAAAGGTTTAGAAAGTGATATAGTGTTGGAAATGTGCATAAGCTAATGAGAACCCATGTAATGAAGATGGTGTCACTTTTCTGTGTACTGAACAAGAATCATGTCAGATTCCGCCCCTGAACAGATGCTGTAGATGAGGTTAAGCACTGAGTGAAACATCACATGATTAAGCAAGTCTCTTTTTTGAAACACTTGGGAAAAGGAGATTATTGATTTGGATATGATTTACCCACATTGATGAACAAGAGTGCTTGCATTCTAAAGCCTCTTTGTTGCTTTCACAGATGATTTGCAGTGTATACTTGGCATCGCATAGAGGGAACTATGCTTTTGTATATCGTGCCATCCAAATTCTTTCCAAGTTATTACTTTGACCTTTCTAACAGACTGGAGTTTCACAAATAAAAGTTTTGTTTCTCCTAACTCCTTTCTCAGATTCTAACGATCTTAGGACTTCATAAATAAATAAGGGCTTGGTTTAGATCACTCCGTAAAATGTCTCTTAATTTCTTAATGTGACATAAAAATTAGCTTTGTAGAATTTATTATCTCAGGAAATCACTTTCAAAGGCTAAACTTGTCTATCTGGGAACAATGAAATGATATGATCAAAGGCAGTTTTACAAAGCCAGGAATGCTCTTTTAGAACTAATTTTTGAAAAAAAAAACAAAAAAGTTCAAAAAAATAAGAGTTAAATAAAATTCTGTGAAACAAATTCATTATAGATTATTACAAGAAAGTAGGACTATTTGTCTTGACAGAACAATGATAAGGATGGCAATTGTTCCCCTTCCCTACCCTCAAGTGTTCCTGGAGATCATTTTTAAAATAAAGGATCAGGTAGACCTGCAGTCAATAAACATTGAGTATATAACATGTGATAGCCACTGTCCCATGGGACAGTGAAATCATGGAATCCAGACAGATGTACAAGTAACTACATTATAATAACCTCTCTGAAAGAATATATATAAGGCGATTTGAGCATTCTTATAGAAAAGGGGAAGCTTAATAAAGGATATATGCATGTGTGTATTGAATATATTCTAGACTGACGTTATCTGAAAATGCCAGAGATGGGTGAAAAGATAAAGAAAAGCAAAAGATGAAATTCGAATGGTAGGTTGGGCAGACATTTGTATGACCCATGCTGATTTTAAATCAGTGGTTTTCAAAATGATGAGAATTATCTGCATGTCAAACTCAGCAAAGGGGTAGGAGGAGCCTATGAAAAGGCAGAGGCTACTCTGTAGACCACTTGAATCAGCATACTTGGTAGTAGGTTCTTGGAATCTGTAATGAACTACCCACTTGCTAACACACACCAGGTGGTTCGTTTTCACACCAAAGTTTCAGAATCTCTACGAGGCAACAAAACTGACTCATGTGTCTGTGTTCTTTGAAGAAGTTTCAGAAAAAAAAATTAGTAATAAAAGATCTGGGACAAATAGGAACTGGAGGTAATATAAGAATATCTTGAGAAAATTGGTTTAAACATTTTGGTTAGACATGAGAACAAAACTTCCTAATAATGATGGTTATTATATATAAAGAATGACTAAATAATGCTATTAAATCTCAAAGGAGGGGTGTGAGACTATAAACATTCAAGAGGCTGTCTTTCATCTTTCTTTTGTTTTGTTCCCATACAAAGAGTCGATGAAGATCCAAAATAATTTGTAAAACAGCTCCCAAGTGGTGTGGAGATGAGAGAGAGGAAATAGTTCAGAGAAACTGTTTCTGAATGCTATTCTTTGGAAGAGCTATTTGACTACTTTATTTCAATTAAATAAATGTCATTTAAAAAAAATACTAGCATTCTTGTCATGACTGAAAAGCATCATGCTCATGCCAACGCAGTATGTGACCTATATGGTCTATGTTGAAAATTATTAAAAACGTAATTATATGTTT